TAGGAAGTAAGGAGTGCAAGTTGCAGAACAACTGCAGAATGCAGAGGTATTCGTTATGGACCCGGTCAGGTTACAAGCGATGAAAACGATCTAAAACTACGCTCAGGGATAACACTCAGCACCTCTCTGAAATTGGAGCTTGAGCTGCAGCCTCCATGGCGCTGTATTGGCAGCCTGTACGTCAGCGCCTGGTTACAAAACCACTGGACCATCGACCCAGCTCGGACTCATGATATCGTGGGTCTCGGGCAGACTTTTGGGCCAGGGCGCCTCGCCTGGAAGGGGTGGCAGAGAGACGGTGAATACGATGGTGCCAGTGTGTCCCGCATGTGAGCGCGGCGATGGTAAGACCACAACTGCCTTCAAGCCTGCGCAACAGCTTGTCATGGAGCGGGCAAGCACTCAGTGGTGCGGGATATTACACAACAATGTGCCTAGTCCAGGTCCGCAAGCAGGTACCAGCGCGGCACCCGAGCCTTGCCTTCCCACGCTGGTATCATACAAGAAACGCTTCAGGTGCAAGACCAAGATAGGAGGAAGTGAGTCGATAAGGACTTGCTGGCTTGCTTCGATCGTGACTCCCGGGCGGTTGGGAGCAGTCATTTGCACCTGCTCAGGATGAGAAATGTAACTCAGAGCGTCCTTGATAGTATGGATATTCTCTCGCTGGAGGCCAAATATTTCAGTATATGCGTCGGCAAATGGAAGAAGGCCAGTACACACCTGAATGTCGAGTCGTATTGATCGCCAGTCTTCGACGATGACTGAATCGCGCTGTTGGGGCGCCCTAAGAGTCGACCTAAACTTCCCGCCGAAGATTCTCGTGATTGGCGATTCAGTTGTCCTGATCTACTCGAACCCAGTCAGCGATATGCGTAACTCGAAAACCACAGCCATAAACATACTGTACGTGTGACAACCGTCCTGTTCCTCTTCCCGACCTCCATCCAGCCCTCATCCTTCTGCGACGGCTCCTCCTCCAGGCGCTCTTCCACCTGCTGCTTCTGCGCCGCCTTCGTCGACGCCGGGCTGAGCTGCGCCTGCAGCGAGAGCAGCTCCTCCTCGAGCGTGTCGAGGTAGAACCCGAAGAACTCCTCCGCGTCCTCCTGGTGCCCGCCGCGCATGTTCTCGAACCGCTTCTTCTCCTTCATCGCGTCGTAAACGTATCCGGGCACGAACCAGTCCGTCGCGTCGCCCTCTCCGTCCTCCTCCTTCTCCTTCCCTTTACCCGCGCTCTCGTCCACGAGGAACTCCCTCAGGAACCGGATCGTCGCGTCCACGAGCGGCGTGCCCGCGTCGGCGCTCTCCGCCGGCGGTACACTCCCGTTCAGCGCGGGCAGCGGCGCCGGCAGCGGGAGGTACTTTCCCAGCTCGGTGAACAGCCGGTGGAACGGCGGGCAGTACACGAGCACCTGCAGCACCGCATTCGCGAAGCACATGTTGCCCTGGTTCACCAGCCCGCGCGGGCGGATCCTCATCGGCCCCCCGTTCGCGCTGTTTCCGGGCCCCGACGACAGCAGGCTGAGCAGCTCGGCCTTGTGCGGGATCGCGACGCCCGGGATGCCGCTGCCGCTCGTGCTGCCCCCCGACGGAGAGGACAGCGACGAGGCGGGGATGGAGATGCCGACGACGGAGGACCGCGGGAGCTTCGAGGACGACGCGGCGCCTTCGGGGCGGAGCAGCGATGCCCACGATTTCGGCGCGGCTTTCGCCTGCGGGGCCGGCGCGGGTGTGGAGGACGCAGACGCGGACGTCGCCGCCTCCGTCCTGTCTTCAGCCTTGGGCGAGGGAGTCGGCGCACGTGCGGCAGCGGAGATGGACGTCGTCGTGGAGAACGGGGAGCCGGGAGCGGTCGACGTCGCCGGCGTCGTCTCGGTCGCGGTGGCCGTCGCGGCGGACGAGGGGACGTCGGGTGGCGTCGACAATCGCTCGGCCTTGTCAGGCAGCTCGACGTCGGCTGCAGGAGCAGACGATTTGCTCTCTTCGGCCTCGGTGGTAGCTTCGGGCTCCTCGGGCGCAGGCAAAGCGACCTTCTCTGCCACGGGTGAGGGAGGCGGGGTCCGCTCGTCCAGCGCGCTCTCGACGACGTCGGGCGGCGGACGGGAGCGAGAAGCAAATATGATACCAGGCGCATGAGACGGATTCTTCGGCCGCCGTGACCACACCGCCCAGCCTCCCGTAGTCGGCTTGGGCTTAGGCGATGACGTAGAGGGCAAAGACCCTCGCGCACATTCAGGAGAAATAGGAGAAGGAATGAATGATGTCTGTTTGGGAGACTTGTGCTCCGGCTGAGGGGCTGCAGCGGGCTCTTGCTCTGGTTCTGACTCTAGAGAAGTCGGCGCGGGAGCTGTCTCCACGATTTCCTGGGGCTGCTCGTGTACAAAGGTGTGCTCCGCTTCAGGAGGAGCAGCCTGTACTTCCCTGGGACGAGGAGAAGCTTGCGGGGCCGGCGATTGCGGCGCTCTCTGGGGCTGGTACGTATGGTTCATCGACATCGGTGGGGGCATCATGAGCTGCTTGGGCAGGGGAGACAGGGGGGAGGACACTTCAGCCGACCACGCCGGCGAAAACGCTGCTGAAACAGAGGGCGACGCGCCAGGCTGGATGGGCACGGGGGGGTACGGGGCGGGCGGGGAGAACGGGACCTGGTATTTCGAGTGCGGGTGGTGCGGCTGCGCGTAGTTCTCCTGCGGCGGGATGGGCGCGTGCATGTAGGGATTCGCGTGCTGCTGAGGGTTGTGGTGGTGTACGGGCGGCTGGAAGGTCTGGTACGTCGGCGCGCCGCCGCCGCGTGACGGGTGGTAGCCGCCTCTGCCGCGGTGTGCGTTCGGTGGTGCGTGGTGCATCGCTCCTGGCGCGTGCATGGGCGATTGCGGATACGGCGAGTAGGGGTATGGGGCGGCGTTATGTGGAGGCGCGTGCGCGCCGTATACGTATGGTGGCGGGATGGGATGCTGCATTGCGTGGAAGTACGAGGGCCCCGGCTGGGAGTACGGTGGTTGAGGCGTCGCCATTTCTGGTGAGGGGCATATAGGATTTGTCAAGTGACCTGCGTCGGCGCGTTAGCGGCTGCAGGGACGACGCACGGCAGGAGCATACGCGTACCTTTATGTAACGAATCCTCCCCAAGACTTTATGTTCTTTTGCGTATCGCAGAAATTCGGCCTGCGGCTTCGGTCAAAGAATCGCCTGGTCGCAAGCTTTTCCGAGTATACCTAGTCCAAGCAAGAGGTTATGATCCACCTTGATATACCGAGCGTAGGGGCTGTCTGAAACGAGCTGAGTAAGCCCCGTTCGCGCCATTGGCCGCTTTACAACGAACCTTTTCAGCAGGGAAACCAGAGTGCGATAAGCGTGAGCTAGCCGGGCAACGAGTACACAACTCGTACGGAAAGCTTTTGGGAGGAACGCAGGGAGGCAGAGGGCAGGCGATCAAAGTGCTGGACACTGACAGGCGAAGTCGAAGCCGAGCGAACGTCAAGCCACGTTCTGCGACAAACAACGCATAATAATTGTAATCCGTTTGTGGCAAATGTAGACCTCAATGTAAGTATATAGGAAGTAAGGAGTGCAAGTTGCAGAACAACTGCAGAATGCAGAGGTATTCGTTATGGACCCGGTCAGGTTACAAGCGATGAAAACGATCTAAAACTACGCTCAGGGATAACACTCAGCACCTCTCTGAAATTGGAGCTTGAGCTGCAGCCTCCATGGCGCTGTATTGGCAGCCTGTACGTCAGCGCCTGGTTACAAAACCACTGGACCATCGACCCAGCTCGGACTCATGATATCGTGGGTCTCGGGCAGACTTTTGGGCCAGGGCGCCTCGCCTGGAAGGGGTGGCAGAGAGACGGTGAATACGATGGTGCCAGTGTGTCCCGCATGTGAGCGCGGCGATGGTAAGACCACAACTGCCTTCAAGCCTGCGCAACAGCTTGTCATGGAGCGGGCAAGCACTCAGTGGTGCGGGATATTACACAACAATGTGCCTAGTCCAGGTCCGCAAGCAGGTACCAGCGCGGCACCCGAGCCTTGCCTTTGAGCTGCAGCTCGTCCGCGATCTCCTCCACCAGTTCTACGCTCGGAGGCCCACGCTCGCTGCGGCGAAAAGACCGAAGGTCGACCAGCGCGACGCAAAACTCCATCGAGGCGCGCGTGCGGTCTTCGAAGACGAGCGCGGGGGAATGTATGAAGCGGGCAGGCATGGGGTGTTTTCTCGCGAGATCCTGGACAACCCAGCGGTGTATGGTGTGGTAGTCCGAGGCTTTGTGTTCTGAATCCTCCACGGATTCACCGCGCTTCTCGCATGCGCGCACAGCTACTTCATCTGTTAACAGAAAACCCAGAACCCACTCGGAGGACCATGGACGCTTCAGCCGCCAGGCGGGCAAAGGAGAGGGCTTAGGTCCATCGGGGTTGGGCTCAGAGGGGACATGACAAGTGACAGTGACATAGTGTCACTACCAGGACCTTGTAATCTCGTGTGGTCATGTTTGCCAATGCCCCGCCCAACCAACTGCCACAATACAGCGTCTTTGTACATAAGTGAGACATGAATACATCGCCTTGCCTCCTCGCCGATACTCACCGCCGAAGCGTAGCGAGGCAAGTCGTTTGCAGGTAACTTACAGTGCCTTGCATAAGAAACTGAACATCGCATTTCCGCGCGCGTTGTTTGTCCGC